ATGCATTTATGTTTAAGATGCTGCTTTTATATTATTTTTTTTTATTTTTTTTAACACATATCTGAATTCCACAGGAAACTCACTTTGCAAGAGCAGAATCCAGCCCAGCCGGCGTGGCACAGGGGCTGAGCATCAACCTATGAAGCAGGAGCCCCAGTCTATTCCCGGTCCGGGCACAGGCCCAGGTTGCCGGCTTGATCCCCAGTGGGGGGCGTGCAGAAGGCAGCCGGTCCAGGATTCTCTTGAGAGGGCAGGGCGGGGCGAGGATGGGCTCCTGACTCCACTGTGGGGCAGGGAGGAGCTATCCTCCATTTTGTAACTGGAACCTGGCCCTCACCCAACCAATCGGGGTCAGCCAAAGCAGTGACATCACCACCGGAGTAAAACCCGGGGCTTGGAGAAATTCGCTCTCTCTTCCGCCATGCTGCCAGCATGAGTGGGAAGAGCCCATGCTAGCACGGAAGAGGCTCTTTTGGTCATTGCATCGGACTCGGCTCCCTGGTGGTCCTTGGGGATCGCGAAGTCTGGGTGTAACACTCTCATCACTGATGTTTCTCTCTTTCCCCCTCTCCCTTCCTCTCTGAAGCCAATAAAAATATAATTTTAAAAAAGAAAGAAGGAAGAGCGAACTGCAGGACCCTGGGGCCGGGCGGGTTGGAAGTTCAGCTCCGGGCAGAGGGTGTGGGTGCCTCCCGCCGGGGCCCTGGAGCACCCCGGACAGGCCCTGCAGGCTTCCGGCCTGCTGCCTGCGAGGTGGGCACACCTCACCACGTCCGCGGAGAGCCGGAGCTGGGGTCTGCCAGCCCCACCCACACGCGGAGTTCTTTGGGACACACACACACATACACACACACACACACACCCCCGGCTCTGCCCGCCTCCTGCTGGGCCGGGGAGCGGCGGGGAGGGAGGAAGCTCACTCTGCTTCCTGTCAGGTGCTTTGGGATTGGCCCCTTTGCCCTTTGCCCTGGAAGCCAGGTGGGCTCCGGGGCTCTGGGGTGCCCACCTGGGGGTGGAGGCCCCCTGGGAATGGAGCCCCAGGCTGCAGTGACCTCAGCCTGCTGGCCTGCTCACCCCTTCCCGCTGGGAAGTCAGAGGGGCTCAAACCCTCACGTGGCCACTTCCTGGGTGTGGCATTGGGCAAGCCAGGCCTCGGTCTCTTCCTGGTCTAGAGGCCGAGGAAGGCGCCCTGCGGGCGGGCGGAGGATCCTGCAGAGCTTATCCGTGGGGCCTGCTTCCTGCTGCGGACGCCTCCCGGCCGGGGAGAGGCCTCACACCCCCCTGCAGGCCCGCCCCTGGGCTGCCCCCCAATGGTCACATCTGACTCCAGAGCCCCCTCCACGCCCTGCCCCTGCCTCTGGGATGTCCTGAGGGCACCCCACTCTCTCATGCCCCTGACGTCCCCTCATCCGGAGCGGGGTCCTGGTCCCAGCCTGGACGGGGCAGGTCTGAGGGTCCGCTTTGGGGCTATGAGGTGAGAACCCCGGAACGACCCAGTGCTCTCCCAGCCGCCCGGCCGTGCAGCCTGCAGCGGGGCCTTTCTCCTGTGGCTGGAGGAGCCAGACCCGTCCCGCGCACACCGAGGGCAGGGCCCTCAGCTCAGCTGTGGCTCCTGCTCCCCTCCACGCCAGGGTGCCGGGCCAGCCACTGGCGGGGGCAGGACCAGCTTGCGTTCAGGCTGGGATTCTCTGACCGTGCGGGTGAGCCCGCCCGGCCGCCTTCCCGGGGTCTCGCTCCGGGAATTGCCCAACGCTGCCACGTGCCCCCCGTCTTGTCTCTCGGAGAAGTGTTCGAGGCGCCTATCCTGCACCAAACTCTCCCAGCCGCTGCCCATTCGTTCCCACCCCAAAGCCGCGTCCGTCTCCGCTGCAGCCGCACTGCACTCCGCCCACAGGGGGCGCTGGTTTCCTCCGGGGCTGTGACGAGTCGCCAGCAGGTGCAGCCGTGCACTGGACGCGGCTATCCCCTCGCTGTGCTGGAGGCCGCACCCAGTCCGATCAGCAGCTGCAGCCAGGGGCGCAGGCCGCATCCTTTCTGAGGCTCCGGGGAGACCCACCCGTCTTTCCCGGCGCCTGGAGACCGAGTCCCATCCACGGCCTTTCCCCAGCCTGCACCGTCCCACCCGGAGCCCGCCCTCCATCCCCTCTCGCTCTGACCTCCCTCCCTCCCCCTCCCATACCGAGCCCGGAACAGTGCGGGATCATCGCCCACCTCAGACCCTTTGCAGGGAGGCCATGCCCACAGGTGTGGAGGTTGAAACTGGGGCGCCGTGGGGGCCACAGGTGCGGCGGGCCGGTCCCGGGGCCCGTCCAGAGGCTTGTCCAGAACCGAGGGCCCAGAGGGACGACCAGGCCTGTTCTGGCTGACACGCCGGCCGGAGGCTGGCTGGGGCCCAGCGCCCCAGGAAGCTGCCGCCTCCACTGCGGACGCCAAGGACAGCCTGTGCTCCTGGCGGCCCCGGCAGGCAGCAGGTGCACTCAGTCCCGAAGTGGCCATGCCTCTGGGGCCTCCGTTCCCTGGCGGGGCTGTGGGAGAGCTGCTGAGCCCCATGGAAAGTTCCGGCTCGTTCCAGAAAACGCACACACTGCCGGCGTACCGTGTGACACCCAGAGTGTGGGGTGCGCCAGGCCCCGGGGAGCCAAGAGGAAGCAGCCAGGTTTCCCAGGCCGGGCAGACACCTCGGTGCTGGCGAAGCTTGGGCCAGGGGCTAGCGGAGGACAGTTCAGGCGGCATCCCAAGGAGGCTGCTGTGGCGGAGCCTGAGAAGTGAGGTTCAGGTGGCGGGTGTGTGTGTGTGTGTGTGTGTGTGTGCGTGTGTGTCAAGGGCGCTGCTGACAGACCCCTGGGCTGGCGAGAGAGGGAGGCGTGGCTGGGCCAGCAGAGGAGTGTCCGGAAGTGGCCTGGCCAGCGTGTTTAGCAGTTAGGACGTCAGCCTGTGCTCAGAGGTTCACGGTTTGACTCCTGGTCACAGGCACGTATGTGGGTCGCAGGTTCGATCCCAGCCCCTATTGGGGCGAGTTGTGGGAGGCAGCCAATCGATGTCCCTCTCCCTCTCCCTCCCTCCCTCCCCCCAGCCCCCCTTCCACCCTCTTTAAAAAGTCAATGGAAAAATGTCCTCGGGTGGCAATTAACAAAACAAACAAAAAGAATCCACCAGTGGCCAGGGATGGACAGCCATGGCTGCGGTGCCTGAGGCTGGCGGGGCGGCCGGACGCCTGCTCAGAGCGGGAGGGCCGGGGCGGCCGGGCCTTTCCCCTCGCCTCCTCCCCCTTTCAGACCCGGGCTCTGCAGACGTGCGGCCAGGGGAGCTGCCGGGTGCAGGGCAGGGATTGGGGTTCCGGCCCTGGGCCCAGGTACTAGTGGTGAGAGCAGGAGGGTTCAATAACGCACCCAGATGCTCCCGCGGAGAAACCCACGGCAGCTGGGAGACGCCCCGGGCCCGAGCGCCTCTGCCCGCACGGAGCTCTGAGGGCAGAGCGGGCAGCAGACTCCTCTCAGGGCCACCTCCGCCCCTGTCCTCCTCCGTCCGCCTCCAGGGGAGAGGAGGCGGCGTCTCTGTGCGGCTCCAGGAAGGAGGGCGAGAGCAGGTGGCCTGCTTTCCTGGCTGGAGCCATGGCCTCCGGGTGCTACGCCCGGTGAGGGGGGAAGAGGGGCCGAGGGTGGGTGGCCCGCTGCCAGGCTGCCAGCTTCCTGTGGCTCCAGCTCCCTGAGACTGAAACCCGGCTCCCTTTCCTGCAGAGTCCCCGTTTCTGCCTGCCCGTCAGTGCCAAGCGCCAGACAGACAGACAGACAGGTGCCCGGGGACACAGGACCCCTGCTCCCTCCAAAGCGCAGTGGGAACAACGCCCGTGAGAGGGCGTCCCAGGCTCGCCGCCGCTGCCGGCAGAAAAAGTGCTGGGGCCGTTTTCCAGGCTCGGGCGGGAGCCAAGGCTGAGGGCGGTGAAGGCGTCTGCCCACAGTCACATGCTGGTGCGGGGCGGGGGCCGGGACCTGGCCCGGGCTGGTGTGGCTCCGATGACGATGACGTGGAGCTCCCAGTAAAGGGCTCCCAGCCGCCCGGCCAGCAGCTACGGCTGGAGGCCCCGCCCTGCCCGCCTGCTTGGCTGGGCCTCTTTCCCAGGGGGCCAAGCCTTTGGGTTTCTGGGAAGGACGCTGTCCCCAAGGGTGGCTCCTGCTCTGGCGACCTCAGCGGTCCCAGCATCCGCAGGCCTGGGGGCCTCCCCTCCCTCAGCAACGGGCCCGTGGCCAGGAGGGGGGCTGGCACCAGTTGAGGTGTGGCCCCAGCTGGGGGACAGGGGACACGACTGCTGGTCAGGGAAGCCAGCGCACAGGAGGAGGGGACGGCAGTGCCGGGAGGACCGGGCGGCAGAGGCGGAGCACAGGGCCCAGGAGCCCAGAGCCTCCCTCCACTGTGCCACCCAGCCTCCCCAGGCTCCTTCCGGAACAGCCACCAAGGGGAGTCCCTGCCCAGGGAGCGGGCACTCGGATGCCAGCTACACTCCGCCTCGCTGACAGAGTACAGGGAGGCCGCCCTGGAGCTTGCCCAGGCACCGGAGGAGCCAGCCTCCAAGCTGCTGCCCAAGGTCCCACCGCAAGACCATCCCAGCCTGCAGCCTGCTCCCGGCGAACCTGCCACCCGCCACGGGCACCAGCGCCAAGCCCTTGGGCACTGGGAGGGCGGCGAGTGTGATGGGACGAGCCGGCCTGGCTGCCGAGTCCCTCTGAACCCCTGTGTGGGCCCCACCAGCACCTGCCAGCCAGCAGGACAGCGCGGGCTCCAGGCCTCCTGGCAGCCCCGGTCTGCGCAGACCAGAGCGGGGGAGGCCACACCGGGGCCCGGGGGAGGTGCGGGAGCTCTGCCAGGTGGTGAAAGAGCGCTCAGCGCCGCGCAGCATGCGAGGCAGGAACGCCTGGGTGCCGCCCCCCACGGCGCCTCCCGCGCTACTATTGGGCGAGGGGTCCGGGACCCACAGACCCGGCAACAAACGTCAGGCCACCATGTCCGCTCCGTGACACTTTATTGGCCAGCTCCCCGCTCCCGAGCTGTGCCACCAGAGACGCCAAGCCACTACTCTGGCCCTGCCGGTGGCACCGAGCCAGCCTGGGCACTGGGTCCCTCAGTCCGGAGCTGGCCTGGGGTGCCCTGGCTCTCTGCCGCCCGAAAAGGAGGAAGGCACCCCTCCTTCCTGGCGCCCAGAGCCGCGGGAATGCCCAGCACCGGCGCTGGCAGGTGCCCCGTGGCAGGGAGCAGTCCAGGATGTGTCACCCGGGCCCTCCGGCAGGCTGGGGCGCTGGCCCGGCGTCCACAGGGCAGCCACCCTGCGGCCCGGACCTCCGGATGTGCAGGAACCGGGGCCTAGGGCACAACAACAAGGGCAGTCACTGCCTGGGCCCGGGAGGAGCAGGGAGCGGGGCGGCCGGAGCCGAGGGGCCGTGGAAGGCCAGCGGCTGTGGGGCGGGGGAGGGCGCTCACCTCCCGCAGCAGTCCCTGCGCACGGCCGCGAGCTCGAGGGCCAGGCCCGGCCGGCTCCGAAGCCAGCTGCCGACCAGCTCGGGGTGTCTGGGGTCCACTTCTAAGAAGAGGCTTCTGTGCGGGAGAGAGGGCCAGCTCAGCTGGGCAGGGCCCAGTGGCCACCAGGGCAGGCGCAGGGCACACCGACCCCGGGGACCGTCCCTCCCTACCCAGAGTCCTTCAGGAGCCGAGGGGCCAGGGCCAGGAGGTGCAGGATGATGTCCATGCCCTTCTCCCCGCCATCCAGGGCTGCTGGGTCTTCATAGCTGCGGGGAGCAGAGGGTGAGAGGGACAGGAGCGCGGGGAGCAGGGGGTGAGAGGGACAGGAGCGCAGGGAGCAGGGGGTGAGAGCAGACAGGAGAGCTGAGCAGAGCCCTCACGGAGTGCCCAGCACCTACACGCTGGGCTGAGAGAACGTCTGAGGCCCAGGTGCCAGCGGCTCCCGCTCCCCATGTCCGACAGGCAGCAGCCACCAGGCAGTGCCCAGGGCAGGAGCCTGTCTCCCCACAACAGGCTGCTCCTATTCTGGGTCTGGGGGTGCCTGGGGAGGGGAGCCAGCACCCTGACCCACTGCCGCTGCCCATGTGGGAGTTCTGGGCTGCGCGGGCTCTCGGCCCACTGGAGGGCAGGATGGCTCAATGCACAGCCGTGAGCGGCTTTGGCCTCAGCTTCCCCGCTAAGTCCCCCATGGCCGTGGACAAGGCGCCGTCCCCCTCCGGGCCTGTCTTCTGTGAAACGAGCACCCTGGATGCGTTCTGTGCTGTCTGACCCTGCGCTGTGTCACCGCCGAGCCCTCCGTGGCCTGCACGGCTCGGCCCCGCTCTCAGAGGCAGGAAGCGGAGGCTCCGAGAGGCAGGGGTCGTCCAGAGGTCGTCAGGAGGCAGAAGCCAAACCGGGAGGGTCTGTGGGCTGTGGAGTGAGCTCTCTTCCACCGCCTGCACCTTTCAGCCCCTCCTCCACCCCCCACCACGGTGGTCCTCCAGGGCAGACCATCCCACTCGCCCCCGGCCGGCCACGGCCTCCCCCCACCCGCACCCGCACCCGCACCCCCACCTGCAGATCTCAGGGGCCAGCAGCGCCATGTCCTGGCGGAACACGTAGGGAGGGTTGCTGACGAGCAGGTCCACGGGGCCCCAGGGCAGGAGGTGTGTCCAGCTGCCCTCTGGTCGGGGCACACAGCAGAGTGGGAGTGAGAGTGGAGCCCGCCCACACCAGGCCCCTCACTGAGCCCTTCGGCCAGTGCCCCGCCCCAGCCTGCCTGGGCCAGGGCCACAGAGGGCACCCAAGTATTTCGGTCTTAAGATTTCTCTTGAGCTTCTGCTTATCTCTTACAACAATGCAAGCACTAGATAAGACCTTAGTTACAGGGATTTGAAGATAAGAAAAACCCCAGGGCTGGTCCCCTCCAGGGTCAGGTCAGCCCAGGAGGCAACAGGGACTGGCGTGTCCTCAGGAAGGATTGGTCTGATGCCCCTTGTATGCATGAGTGTATGCAAGTGTGCGCACATGTGTGCATGTGTGTGGGCACGTGTGCATGCATGTGTGTACATGCATTTGTGTGTATGTGTGTGTGTATGTGTGAATAGTGTTGGGAAGCCTCCCCCGCTCTGCAGACTGCCTCATCCCCCCCCCCCCCCCCAGCATCTAACCACAGGACCACACCCAGGGAGGAGGGGTGGGGAGGTACCTAAGGTCACATCGAGGGCGGTGATCCGAATCCTGTCCTGCAGCTGAAGCCTGGGGAGAGGGGAAGGCGTGAGCACAGGCGGTGCCTGCCCTTGGCTAGAAGCCTGGGAGGATAAACCCCGCCCAGACTGAGACACTGGGGCCCACCATCCCGTGTCCCGCTGGGCGCCAGCCGGGCTGCCCAGTGCCCCCCCTCGGGAGCGGACGTCGGTGGGTTTGTTGCCTGAACAGGGGCTGAGATCAGGCCCAGGCCCGTCGCCCGCACCCTGACCTTCCGGTCCCCCGGCCCGCCTACCTCTGAGCGTTCTCAAGGGCCAGGGAGACGGCGGCTCCTGCCTTATCCACAGCGAGGACTCGGCTCTGCCCAAGACACAGTGCAGGGCACGCGGGAGGCAGGTGCTGGAGAGGCCAGGCCCGGGGACACAGCCGCACCAACCCCGGCGGAAAAGGAGGGAATGCCCACACCTTCCCCTCCCCGCGCCAGGTCCGGCCAGCCAGAGGGTATGGGAGGCGGAGGCTGTGACCATGGCGGGCTGGCAGCTGCCCCTCCAGTGCTCCTAGCAGAGACGGGGCAGGGCCAGGGAGCACCAGCCCGTCTCCTGGGGCGGGGAGGGGAGGGGTGCTGGGGACGCTCACCTGGGGCAGCTGGCTCAGCAGGCTGAGGGAGATGGCTCCCGACCCACAGCCCACCTCCAGGATGAGGGGGCCGCCTCGGGCTCCCCCCGCACGGGGCTTCTGGGCCTCCTCCTCCAGCACCCACTCAACCAGCTCCTGTGAGGCAGAGTGGTCTGCGTCAGGAGGGGTCAGCCTGGCCCCTCGGGGTCTGGCACAGAGACAGCCTCTGGCTGGGAGCTCACGCCCAGGAGCAGCGGTCACCTGCCCGGGGTAGCGAGTCTGAGGCAGCAGAGCCCGCCGTTCCTGCCCTGCGCCCGCTGCCCGACAGACAGAGCTATGCTTACGGGGAGATGGCCTGGCTCCAGGCAGAGGGGCTCCCCGGGCGCCCCCGGCCTGGGCCAAGCCCTGCGGAGACTTGGGAGCCGGCAGCAAGCTGGGCCCACAGTGCTGGGCACCGAGCGAGCAGCTGGCTGTGGCCGGGGCCTGTGGTCTGGGTGGCGAGGTTGTGCGCCGAGTGGCTGGTGGAGGCCGGGCTGTGGGGTGGGAGGCTCTTGGGGTTTCCTGGCCGCAGACAGACCTGCTCTGGCTGGGGATGACCCCTCAGCCAACCACACCGGCTACCACTTCACAGACACCCCGACCTCAGACAGGCCGCACCGCGAATGGCCACCCCGGCCGCCCTCTTACACCCAGACCACAGGAGGGGCCTCTGGCTGCAGAACCACAGGGGGGGGGGGGGGTGACACCAGGAGCCCTGGCACTCCTCTTCCTGAGCCAGTGAGGGCCCCCCGGGGAAGGAGGCTCGGGGGAGGCCGAGAGCCCAGGGCGCGTGTCCCTGGAGAAGGAGGACAGAGTGGGGTGCGGGCAGAGGGGCATGCAGGAAGGAGATGGGGAGCAGGCAGCTGTCGGCTCTGCCTGGAGCCACTGCCTCCGCAGGACCCACCCCCCTCAGGAGGCTGGCCCGGGCCCCGGCAGGGCCTGGTGCCATGAGCACTCCGCTAGGATTACGTCCCTGTGGGGCGTACCAGGCGGTGCACTGCCTCCCTCAAGCCAACCCCAGAAAAGGACCCACACCCCGCAGGGCCTGAGGCCCAGGCCGGGCGCCTCTCTGCACACCCCGCGGGCCAGCCCAGGGGAAGCCCGACCTGTCAGCCACACGCCTACCACTGGGCATCCCAGCCTGCTGCCCCCCTGATCAGAAACCACCCTCCAGGGACGGGGAGAGTCAGCACCGCGGTCCCGCCCATGCCCCCGTGCCGCCCGCCGCCTGCCGCAGGCCACGTCCTCTCAGGTTCTCAGTAAGGCACCCCCGATGCGGCTTCACGCTGGGTGAACTCAGCAAGTTCTGAGAAATGTCTGTACCGTGAAGTGAGGACTCGGGCTCCCAACCACAGCCTCCCCCCCCTCTTCCCCTCCCGCGGCACAGAGTTGCTCTCTGGCCCAGACCCAGCCAGGAAAGGGGGGCCAAGCGGAGCCGGAAGTCCACACTCAGACCTGCGAGGACATGACTGGGGCCAGGTCCAGCCTGAGGGGCTCAGAGGTCATCACGGAAGCTTCCCTCCCAGACCCTGACCCTTGGCAGCGTCCGGAAACCATGAGTGACCTCCTGGCCAGAGGTCACGTGCTTCGGGGAGCCACAGGTAGCAGGCCACATCCGACTCTGCCTCAGCACCCCTTCCCGGCTCCTCCAGTCCCAGGAGGGACAGGCCCATGGAGTTCATGGGGCCCTGACTGGGGAGTCAGGGTGTCTGAGTGCTGCCCTCGCTACCCGCTTCTTCCCACCCCCTACTCTGCCAGCCCTCAGCAGCCCTGTGACCTCAGCCCTGACCTGGGCAGTGCCGGAAGGACCTGGCCTCCCCACCGCACGACGTGGGGGGAGCGGATTCTGGGCTTGGGGAGAGGCTGAGGAGCTGAGGAGGGGCCCTGGGTCCCCGGCTGGGCAGGCAGACAGGCCCGGTCTCTCCCAGGAATGTTCGTGTTTCTAGGCACACCCCCTTCTCAGAACTGGGCACCCTCTGGCTTCCCCACCGGCCCCCCAGCCCCAGCCCCGGCCCTGCTCTTCCCTGTGCCAGCTCTGCCACCCACAGGACAGAGGGGCGCCCGAGAACAGTCACAGGAACATCCCGATTGGGGTGCCTGGCCAAGCCACCCCGCTGGGGCCCGCGCCCCCGTCCTACCGACTAGAGGGACAGAGGTGAGCACTTCACCGGAGAGTAGGCCTAAAAGGACTCGTCTGGAGGCCCAACCCGCTCATCGCCTGGGCCCGGAGGGGCAGTGACCTCCCTGGGTCACACGGCTGTTCCAGGCCCCAGGCCCCGGGGAGAGCCCCCCACTCAGTCTCTGCCTCCTGAGCACGAGGACGCCAGTTTCCTATGGGTTGGGTAGGCCACTGGCCCGAGGGACAACGTGTAGGTCCATGGTCGGCAAACTGTGGCTCGAGAACCAATGCGGCTCTTTGGCCCCTGGAGTGTGGCTCTTCCACAAAATACCACGGCCTGGGCGAGTCTATGTGGAAGAAGTGGTGTTAGAGAAGTTTAAGTTTAAACAATGTGGCTCTCCGAAGACATGTCCATCGTTGTCCTGTTGGTATTTGGCTCTGTGGACTAATTTAATGAGTTTGCCGACCACTGTCCTAGGGGAACGCCAGGAACAGGCCAGGCACTTGGTAGGCAGCACTACTGGGGTTCCCGGAGCCACTGCAAGCCCCGGTGGCTGGGGCGATGGTTGGGATATAAGGACATTTGAGGAAGCCAGCTGGAGACTGTCCTCTGGGCCCATCTGCCCAACCAGCCAGGCACAGCGGCTTGGAAGGGCACTCGCTGCCTGGAAGGACAGCGGCCATGGGGTCCCAGCGCCCTCTGGAGGAAGTCTGGGGCAAGACAAGTGTTCTGAACCCCACGTTCCTCCCCATGGGGACTGTCCCAGTCAGAACGGAACACCTACCTCTGTCTCTGGCCGAGGGATGAACACGGGGGGCGCCATCTTCAGACTGAGCCCGTGGAAGTCCCACTCGCCGAGGATGTACTGCACAGGCATCCTGCGGAGGGGCGGGGTGAGAGACAGCCCTGGACCAAGAAGACAGCCCCTTGTCACCCCCTCATCCCACGCACTTCCCTAGCCCTTGGACACGGTCCTCCTCCCTGACCATGAACTTGGTGGCGCTGGGGGAGCCGAAGCCCCGCTCCGCACAGAGCCCGCGGGGACAGCCCCCGGTGCTCACCTCTGCAGCCGGCGCCTGCTCAGCTCCTGGACGCACCGCAGTTGCCAAGGGGTCAGGGGCTTCGACCGAAGGGCTGGCCTCAGGCTCTGAAACTGTCCCACGGGGAGTGTGAGTGGCGGCTCCCCTGGTCCAGAGGCCCTGGCCCAGGTTTTGTAGGTGGACAATGCCTTTGGGCCCAACGCTGGCCACCTGGCCAGCGAGCCCAACACACAGGATGATAGTTGGCTAGATGAACAAGTATCTGCCGAAGGCATTCCTCCAGAAAAATGGCGTCACCCTCAGATCAGCACTCTTAGGGGGGCAGAAAAGCCTGCAAGTCCCCTCCCCCAGGCCCCCTTTCTGCATACCCCTCCCCCCAAGGTGCTCCGGCTCCCCCGCTGGACATCCCAGCACTTAACTGTTTTGGCTCCAAGGACATGAGCCACGATGTACTCACTGGATTCCCGGGGCTCAGGGACGCCCCTCTTCTCAAAGACCGCGGCCCACTGGCTGACCAGCTCAATGGCACTCCGCCCGGCCTGAGGCAGACGGGGTCGCCGGGAACTGAAGGCCCGGCCCAGAGTGCCTCCCCTCCTCCCGGGGCCGGTCAGGAGGGCCCGCAGCACTGCCCCCCAGAGCTCCATGTCTCCGGGACGGCTCCCCCAGCACCCCGCAGCCCACGTCCCTGTGATGTCAGCGCAGAGGATGGTCCCTGGCCCCGGCTGGGGGAGAGGCAGAGGTCACGGGCTCCGGCCTTCAGGCGTGCTGCCCACCTGGCGGAGGGAAGAGAACCAGTCCAGCCGCAGAGCTCCTGGGCCGCTCCCTCCGACCAGCTGCGGGGGGAGGGCCCGCTCTGCCTGGCGCTGTCCCCTCCGCGCCTCCGCCTTAGACCCTCACCCGCCTCCGCGGTCCTTCCCGCTTTGAGAGAGGTGAACCCACAGCTCAGTCCCTGCTGAGAAATGGGTCCGGGCCCGGGCGTGGGTGTTGGACAAATCTGTGTGACCCGGAGTTGCGGCCTTGGGGGGAATCGTCATTTCCGGGGCTGGGGTTCCTTGTCCGTAAAATGGGGAACACCAGTTTTAGGGCGAGCAGTGTGCCAGTGCGTGAATGTCAAGAGCCTGGGAGCCAGCTCCGCAGTCAGGAGGGGCTCCACGTTACATGCTCTGAACTAATATGGGGGGGCGGGGGGCTGCCTTGCCTGGGTCCTGCCGTTGATATTGTGCCTGGACTGCCATTGATTTGGACACTGAAATGCCACCCCCCCTACTTAACCCCTACCCTAAATGGCGGCCTAACTCGCCAGCTAACACGTGGGCAGTTTTGCTCATTTTACACCTAAGTTAGCACCAACACTTTGCCCAAGGTTTTCAGCCAGTGGTGCCCTTCCCTTCCACACAGACCACGGTCCCCACCAGCTCCATCGAGCCTTTCCAATATATTTTTATTGATTTCAGAGAGGAAGGGAGAGGGAGAGAGAGAGAAACATCAATGATGAGAGAGAATCATTGATCAGCTGCCTCCTGCACGCCTCACAATGGGATCAAGCCTGCCGCCTGGGCACGTGTCCTTGACTGGAATCGAATCTGGGACCATTCAGTCCACAGGCTGACAATCTATCCACTGAGCCAAACCAGCTGGGGCCTAGGTGGCATCTTCAAAGCAAGTGGAGGGGTTGTGGGGAGGCCGGGAGGAGGCTCCGCGAGGGGGCGACGGGCCCAAAGCCACCAGCTAGGCGCTGTCCTGGGCAAGACACGATCCCAGGGCCTTGGCCTCTGCCCACCGAGCGCCGCGCGGCCTGAAGCCAGGGGCGCAGCTTCTCTCTCGCTCCCGCACCTCCACGTCAATGATCCGGGCAAAGCCGCCTCCCGCACCATTTCCCCTCATGCCCACGTTTGGGGGTTTGGGGGGTGAGATGCTCCGAGGTGGTGCAGTCCTCCCGATCCCCACCTCTAGAGCCTACCTGCCCGAAGGGCTCCCCGACCCGCCCGCCGGCCTGCAGAGAAGGCGCGGGCCCGGCCCCCGGAAGTGCGGGCCCGCGGTGAGCGCCCTCGGACGCCCGGCTTCCGGTCGGCGCAGCAGAGAAAAGGGCTCGGGCGGACCCCGTCGCCCAGCTCCAGGGTTCCTAGCGCCACTGAGCAGCACCCGGAGGTCCCCGCGGGCAGTGAGAGAGGCTGCGAACCCCACTCCCCCTGCGCCCGCAGGCCCCGGCGGGGCGTGCACGGCTGTGGGAGGGGGGCTGCTCCGTGGGGGGCGGGCCTCCGGGAACACGGCCCCAGCCCGCGGCGACTGCCCGGAGCTGGACCGGCGGTAGGTAGCCGGTCCGAAAGGAGGCGTGTCATCAGCCGGTCCTGGGTTCGAGAGTGGGTGCTGAGTGCAGGGGCGTGGTCTAGCAGAGCCTCTGGGCGGATAGAGCTGCCCCTGTGCGGGTCCCAGGGCTGAGACGGGGGCCCATTTGGAGGGCGGGACCCTGGACCCGGACGGGGACCTGGCGAGGGAGCGGCCGAGCCGTGCGGGGCGGGGGCAGGCGGCCTGGTTCCTCTCGCTCCCGCTTCAGGGTTGGAAGCGGGGACTAGAAACCGCACGCAGGTTTGTCCATGGCTTTGTCCAGGTGTCCGGCCCGCCATGGGCCTCAGCGGCTCCTGTAAACCCCACGGCGTGTCCGCAGAGTGTGTCCTGCACCGCCCCCTTCCCGCCCCAGAATCTGTTACTAACGAGGTCTCTGTTCACCAAACTATTGCACATGCAGTTCCCCGGGCTCCGTCCCGGCCCCGGGGCGCCAGCAGCCGGGAATCAATATTTGTAACAAATTACTTCGATGATCCCCCATAAATTCCTTCGAAAACCTGAGGATGAGAAGGTATCAGAAGGCCGGCCGGAGTAGCTCAGTGGTTGAGCATCGACCTGTGAGCCCGGAGGTCACGGACCGTTCAATTCCCGGTCAGAGCACAGGCCCGGGTTGCGGGCTGGATCCCCAGTGGGGGGCGTGCAGGAGGCAGCTGATCCATGATTTTTCTCTCGTCACCGATGTTTATAACTCTCCCTCTCCCTTCATCTCTGAAATCAATAAAAATAACTGCAAAAAAATCAATAAAAGTAAGTGGAGCTCTTGTGAGGGTACACGCTGGCTGGAGGGGCCGGGTGCCCAACACCTGCGCTCCGATAACCGTACCGCCCCCTCCCCACGCGCAGCGCCCGCCTGCGGGCGGGAGCGCGGGCCTGCCGGGCGGAGGTGCAGCCGGGCGGGCCCAGGGCCCGAGGTCCGGCCCGAGAGGGGCCCGGCCGCCCACGGTGCCCGCGGGACGCCGGCTGAGGCCCGGGAGTGAGGGGTGGCGTCCGAGAACGGCCGCCCGGCTCCCTCTGGGGGCGGAGCCGTGCCCGAGCGACAGGCGAGCCGACCAATGGCGGGCGGGATGCGGGCCTGGCAGCCAATCGGAGCTCTGTGGGCGGTGCCTGCGGGGCGGGCGGGGGGCGGAGGCGCTGGAGCATCACGGAGCCGCCAGGCTGCTCGCCGGGACCCCACCCCCCGCGGAGGGTCCTGCCCTGCCCTCCGGCCCGGCGCGCCGAGCGAACCGAGGGCGGACCTCGGATCGGACCCTCCGCCCGTCACCCCAGGCCTGGGGGTCCCCCCGCCCGGTCCTCCTGCCTGTGGCCACCACCCCCCGCCGCCCCGGAGGATTAGGTAAGTGCTGAGGATGGAACTCAGCAGGAACGCAGGGATCACAGAGGGCGGAGGCCCAGGCGCCCTGGGTCAGGGAGGACGAAGGACCGTGGTGGAGAGCCCAATGCGGGTTCTCGGAGATCACGACCCCGTTCGTCCTGAATTCTCGTGCCCTCTGGACCCCGAGGTGGTCCCCAGCAGTGGTGAGAAGGCCTTCCTCTCCTCTGGGCACAGGGGTCAGTGAGCCCCCGAGTCAGGGGTAAGGTCTGGCCCAAGGTCACTCCTGGGGTCAATGGCAGAGCCAGGAAAGGACCCGGGACTCCTGACCTGCCAGCCTCGATGGAGGGAGAGGGCAGAGGGTGAGAGGAGCCAGCCTCTTCCGCTCCATGTCCGTCCACCAGCCGGGCCCCTTCCTAAGGACCAGCACGGGGGTGTGCAAACCTCACACACACCCATCGCCTGCCCCGGGGAGGCACCCGGTACAGCCAGGAGCACCACAGGGAGGGGTCTGGGTGCAGCTGTGTGCTGTGCACCCTCCTCTCCCCACCCTGCCTTACCCAGGGCCCTCTGGCCTGGAAAGGCCTCAGCCCCACCCAGGGCTGGCACCTCTCCCACCCTCTGGTCCGGAGGGAGGAGGGAGGGGGGCAGGCACCTCCATCCATCCCGAAAGGCATGCTCCCTGCGTTCCTCCTAGTCCCTGGCAGCCACCCGCTCCCCTACCGGGGGTCAGTGACCCCCAGAGCCTGCCAGGGCACCTGACTGTAGCCTCTTTCCTTCCTGCCTCCTGGTCTCCCCGTGCCCGCCCCACCCCCACCCCACGCACAGCCTGGGCCACCCGGCGGGCTGGGTGCAGGGCCTCCTGTGACTTCCCGGCGGGCCAGAGGGCGAAGGCTCACCGCGGACAGGGCGGCGCGGAGCTCCGGCCTGTCCGGGACCGGTTCGTTCCGGCATTCCATGGCCCTCTGGCCCTGGGAGGGAGGGGGAAGGGAAGGAGGAGGCACATTTAGGGGTGACTTGCCAGGGCGGTTCTGGTCAGGTGGCCGAGCTGGAATTCAAAGCCAGGCCTGTGTGACCCTTAGTCAACCTCCCCCTTCCCTCCTCTTCCCTCCCTCCTCCTCTCCCTTCCCTCCTCTCCCTTCCCTCCTCTCCCCTCCCTCATCCTCCCCCCTCCCTCTCTCCCTTCCCTCCTCTTCCCTCCCTCATCCTCCCCCTTCCCTCTCTCCCTTCCCTCCTCTTCCCTCCCTCATCCTCCCCCTTCCCTCTCTCCCTTCCCTCCTCTCCCCTCCCTCATCCTCCCCTTCCCTCCTCTCCCCCCTCTCCCCTCCCTCATCCTCCCCTTCCCTCCTCTCCCCCCTCCCCCCTCCCTCCTCTCCCCTCCCTCCCCCTCCCCCTTCCTTCCTCTCCCCTCCCTCCTCTCCCCTCCCTCCTCTTCCTCCTTCATCCTCCCCCTTTCCTCCTCTCCCTCCTCTCCCCTCCCTCCCCCCCCCCCTCCCTCCTCTCCCCTCCCTCCTCTCCCCTCCCTCCTCCTCCCCCCTCCCTCCTCTCCCCCACAAAGAGGGGCGGGGCTCCGTCCAGGTGTCCTCAAGCCTCGGAGCCGCAGCTATAGAAAGCACTGTCCCCGAGCCCCTGGACTTGGCCTTGTCCTCCAGCCTGCAGTCCCCGGAGCCTTCAGCACGCAGGGGCTCCCCCTCCCCACCGGGCCCATCCCCAGCCTCAGGTTTCACCCTCCCTTTCAGGTGGCCGCCCGCCTGCGGAGCCGGCCACAGGCTGGGGCTCCTGATGTCGGAAGCAAGTGGGCAGCTTGACTGGCCACAGGCCGTCTCGGCGTCGGCATGAACGCCAGGCTCCTGGGGGCCAGGGACTGGCTCAGCACCCGCCCGCCCACCTCCGAGCCGAGCCTGGAGCCCGCCACCGACGGGCCGGCCCCCCAGCCCACCGCCCTCAGCCCGGAAGCCACCAGCTTCAACGACACCAGGATGCCCGGCGTGGGCGGCGCCGCTGGCGCGGGCACCATGCTCCTGTCCTTCGGCGTCATCACGGTGATCGGCCTGGCCGTGGCCATGGTGAGAGCCGGGACTTCGGCTGGAGGTGGTGGGCTGGGGTGGTAGAGGATCCGATCGGAGAGGCGTCTGTTCACGGCCACGCAGCCCACCCCTCCCCTGGGCGTCTGTCCGAGGGCCGGGCAGGCCGGGGACCGGGGAGGCCGCCTGAGGTCTGAGAAACGCACCTGTTTGAGCCGGGCCCGAAGGCCCCCCAGGAGAGGAGGCGGGGTTTCGGGGTGCAGCTTCCTGAAGGTCCTGTGAGCAGCGGGCAGGCCAGGGGCCCATGGGCGTGGGGCTGTAGGCCTCTCAGAATCGGGGTGGAGCCTCTGCGGGGAGCGCAGGCCCCGGGCGTGTCCATCCATCCGTCCACGGGCAGTCACTCCTGGGCACCTGCCCCAGATCGGCCGTCAGCCCCCGGACCAGGGAGACAGGCCCTGCCCTGGTTCCCACAGGGGTGGGAGGCGTGAAATGGAGGCGCCGAGGGCTGCGCACAGGGACTGGGCCCGGGAAGGTGGGGGGCTGGGTGGTCGGTCAGCGGAGGAGCCTGGCCCGTGTCCACGGAAAGGCCGAGCGGACAGACACGAGGATGGGCTTCTGGAGCACAGGGGTGGGGTGGGGGAGGGGTGGCTGCAGGGTCCCCGCCGGTGTCTGCGCCTGGAGGTCTGAGCTTTCCTTTTTTTGTTAATCCTCACCCGAGGATATCTTTCCACTGATTATAGAGAGTGGAAGAGAGAGAGGGAAAGAGAGGGAGAAACATCCACGTGAGAGAGATACATCGATGGGCTGCCTCCTGCACACGCCCCGATCAGGGCCCAGGCCAGGGAGGGGCCTGCAACCAAGGTCCATGATCTTGACGGGAATCGAACCCGGGACCCTTCTGTCTGCAGGCTGACGCTCCACCCACTGAGCCGCACCGGCTGGGGCGAAGGTCTGAGCTTTTCCTCTGGGACGATACAGGGACGCTCAGGGCATCCCAGAGGGATCCCTAGAGATGGAGCAGGCTGAGGCCAGGCAGGGGGGTCCCCCGAGGCCCCAGCGGCCTGGCGGCAGTGGGTCCTGCCTGCGCCCCTCGCGGGCTCCCATGGCCTCAGCTCAGGACCCTGCTCTGACAGGCGGGCTGGATGGTCCGGTCGTGGCCGGTTGCAGCTGCTGTTAAACCGGTTGCCATATGGCCCTGCGGGCTCCGGATCACAGCCAGGGAGTGAGCGCCGGGCAGCAAGAGGGCTGGATGCGGGCTGAGCAGCAGGGGGGGCGGGGCAGAGTGCCAGTGCTTCCCCTTGGCACCCACCCGCGGTTAAACAGCCGGAGACACCCCAGCTTCTGCCCTTGTAATTTTCCAGGGAGATTGTCACCCAGGACCCGGGAGAACCCCCTCGCCGGGTCCCGGAGGAACGCTGCAGGGCCCGGGGGTGGGGGCGCGGGCGGCCTTCTTGCCAAAGCCGAGAGGGAGGAGGCCACGGGCAGAGCCATGGAGGGCAGGCACAGCTCCTGGGCACCAGGAGACAGGCCCACAGATGTGCCCGGAGGAACGGGTCAGTGCCAGGCTGTGTCCCCCCCGGAGGGCTTCCTGGGGGGGGGGGGTGTGCTGCTGGGCAGTGAGGTTTGTTTTTTTTAAGTTTTTATTGATTTCAGAGAGGAAGGGAGAGAGGGATAGAAACATCAGTGCTGAGCCCTAGCCGGTGTGGCTCAGTGGATAGAGCGTTGGCCTGCAGAGTGAAGGGTCCCAGGTTCGATTCCGGTCAAAGGCATGTACCTTGGTTGCGGGCACGTCCCCAGTGGTGGGGTGTGTAGGAGACAGCTCTCTATCCCTCTCCCTTCCTCTCTGTAAAAAATCAATAAAAATATGTATATTAAAAAAAAAGGAACATCAGTGATGAGAGAGAATTTCTGATCGGCTGCCTCCTGGATGCCCCCACTGGGGATGGAGCCTGCAACCCGGGCACATGCCTTTGACTGGAATCGAACCTGACCTCCTGGTCTCCCCAGGAAGGCTCTTTGCACCCCTCCTCCTGACCCCCGGCTGCAGTGAGGGGTCTGGGCTGCCAGGGGTTCGATGCTCAACCCCCAGCCGGCCGGCCGGGCCTGTCTCCTGGGCCGTGGGGAGTCGGGAGGAGGGTGAGCTGAAGCGAGGCCCTCCCCCTTCGGCCCCGAGGAGCCCCAGGCGGGCGGGTGCTGAGGGCCTGGCGCCGGGCGGGGGGGCAGAGGTGGGCCTGCCAGCCGCCGGGGAAGACCAGTGGAGCCCACCTCTGCCCGCACTGCTCCTCAAGGGCACGGCGGCCTCGCACACACCTGCACGGGAGACACACGTGCGGGAGGCCTGTCCTGGCCTGGGGTCCTGAGGACTCGCACGGCCCTGCCCGCGGCCGCGGCTAACCAGGCCCCTCTCTTGCAGGTCCTGTACATCAGGAAGAAGAAGAGGTAACGCTCTCCCAGTCCTCCAGCCACGGGCGGCCGGCCGGCGGCTCCGGGGGTGTGGGTGGGAGGGGGAGCCTCACCCTGGGAGCCCCCCCGTCAGCCCCCCTCGGCGCCAGGCTGCCTGGCCAGGGCGTCAGGGCCAGGGCAGAGGGAGGCACTTCCTCCGGAGGAACCGGGGATGGGGGAGGGGAGGAAGGGGAAGGCGAGGACTACCTCCCAGCCACCTGTGCCCATGCCCGGCTGCCCTGAGCCAGCTGCCAGGGACCCGCCCCCACCCGCCCAGCGGCTGTGGGTGGCGCCAGGCCGGGCCTCGGCGGCCCCCTGGGACCCGCAGGTGCCGCTCTGACACTGAGCCTCCAGGCTGGCACAGCCGGCTCTCATTTCACCGCAGGGGCAGCTGCAGGCTCCTAGCTGGTGTGAGCTGCGGCTCAGCTGGCCAGCGGCAGGGCCTGGGGGGGGGGAGGAGGGGAGGGCCTGCCGGATCCCAAGCAGCTTCTCCCCCCCCCCCCCCCCGCCCCGCCCTGCCCCCCAGGCTGGAGAAGCTGCGCCACCAGCTCATGCCCATGTACAGCTTCGACCCCACGGAGGAGCAGGACGAGCTGGAGCAGGAGCTGCTGGAGCACGCCGCCTCCGCGCAGGCCCCGCCGAGCAAGGTGGGCGCTGCCCGCTCCCCACGGCCCCGCCCCGCCCCGCCCCCCCAACCTCCCCAACACCTCCCTCTTCCTTCCTCCGCCACCAGGAGGTGGGGGGCAGCTGCGGGGGTGGGTTTTGTCAGGTTTGTTTAGAAATTGGCAGAATTGCTCCGTGGCCACCGCACCCCTTCGTGTGAGGGCAGGCGGGGCAGCCGGGCCCCCCCAGGCCCTGTAAGGAGCCCCCGGCCTCTCGGACCCCAGTCTGCTCCTCTGCGAACCCTAATCTCCGTCCCCCCCGCCCCGCTGTGCCTGGGGCAGCTGGAGAGCAGGAGGGGCCTGGGGCAGATGCTGGGACCGGCTCTGGGCCTCTGCTCCCGGGAGCCGTGGTCCTGAGGGGGCGGGGGTGGCTGGGTCACGGGGCAGCGGCAGCGCTGAGTGGACGGATGGTCCCCAGTAACCGGCAGAGCCCAGGCGGGTGGGTCTGTGTGGCCGTCCTGCTGGAATCATCGGCTGCCTGGCCACCGGCCATCACCCCAAACCCCGAGGCCTTGTCTGCAGGAGGCCTGGTCTCCCCAGGAAGGCTCTTTGCACCCCTCCTCCTGGCCCCCGGCTGCAGTGAGGGGTCTGGGCTGCCAGGGGCAGAGTTAGGGGGCTGGACCCGGGCAAAGCCAGGCTGGGGGTCCAGGGACGCCTGGCTTTGCCGCCAGTCCGGGTCGCCGTGCTCGGGACACGTTCCCCGGGGGTCAGTCGCGAAATGGGGCTGAGAACCGCAGCCGCCGGCCCCCGGGCTCCTGAGCCGTGACAGCTGCTTCCCTTTTCCCTTCTTTAAAAAGTATTTTTACTGATTTCAGAGAGGAAGGGAGAGGGAAGGAGAAGCATCATCCAAGATCGGCTGCCTCTCCGGGGGACGAGCCCACAGGCCGGGCCCGGGCGGGCAGTGGAGCCGGGGCCTCCGGTGCTGGGTGGACGCTCCAGCAGGGAGCCAGCTGCTTCCTGCGCGGCCGCCGTGGGCCTGTGCGGGGCTGGGCAGTGAGGGGAGCCGTGGCGCATGCGTAACTAACCCGGCCGGCCGGTGCGAGCTGCCAGGGCCACGGGCCCGGGCGGGAGGAGCCGGCGGCGCCAGCTCCGGTCTCCAGGTTTCCGGGCTGAGCTTGCGGGGAGGCCCTGGCACAGGCAGAGCTGGTGGGGTGGGCAGCGGGGAGCGGGCGGCTGGCCAGAGAGCGCGGGGCCTTGGCCACGCCCGATGCCCTGACTCTCTCCGCAGACCACGCTCCCGGCCCAGGGCCCGGTGCAGAGGCCCAGCCGGCTGGTCTTCACCGACGTAGCCATCGCCATCCACGCCTGAGCGGCCGGGGCGGCCTGGACCCCCGACACCGGCGCGGCACCGCAGGGCGGCCTGCGCTCGGACCCGGTGCCGAGGCCCCGCCGCCGCCTCCGGGCTGGGCACCTGGCCCGGCGTCCCTGTCGGGGAGGCCGAGAGCCGCGGCGGCTCCGTGTGTGTGCCAGACCCCCGTCCGGTCTGCGGCTCCATCTCCGGGGAGGAAGTGGGGAGACGGGAGAGGAGGGGAGAGGGGAGAGGGACCACCCACGGGTGGGACGGTGTGGTGGCGCCCAGGATGGAGCTGACACTGCCCAGCAGGCGGCGGTGCCAGGAGGGCCGCTCCCGCCCGCGGGAGGCCCCGTGGCCCGCAGTGGGCCCCTGTCCCCGAGCGACCAGGAGTCTCCCCGCCCCCCGCCTCCCTGCAGCGGCTGCGGCTGAGGGGAGGGGCGGGGAGGGGGCGGGTGTGGAAGTGGGGGACAGGCGGAGCCCACGCCTGCTGGAAGGCCTGGTGTGTGTGCAGGATGTGCCCGCGCGGATGGCGCCTGTGCTGGGCAGGAGGCAGACCCTCTGCTGTGGCTGTGCCTCAGGCGGCCAGCCCCCAGGGCGTGGGGAGCCCAGGGCGGGCCCCTGCCCTCCACGTTCAGGGCGGAGAAAGAGGGGGGACAGGGCGAGGACAGGGCTGAAGGAGGAGGGGGAACAGGGCGAGGGCCAGCAGCCCCATCTCTTCACTGGCTCTGAAGGCGGGGCCTGGGCCTGCAGGCGGCCCTGCCCGCTGTGTGCGGGCCTGGGCCTGGGCCTGGGGCTGGGCTGGGGCTGGGGCTCGGCGGCTGTTGGTCTGAGAGCCGCGGTCATGGCTGCAGCCAGTGGGGGGGTCCTGACTGCCTGAAGTGGGGGGTCACCCCACACACACCCATGGCCCACCGCCCCACACCCCTCAGGGGCTCATCCAAGCGGGGTGTCTGGGCCAAGCCAGACTCCAGGAGCCGACACTTTGTCTGCTGGGCACAACTGCGGAGCACGCCCGCCCGCCTCACCCCTGCCCGCCTCACCCCTGCCCGTCTCGCTGCAGCCGGTTGGAGGGAGCAGGGGCACAGGCTGTGCACGTGTCAGGATATGGGGGTGTGGGGCCGTGGGGAGGAGTCGGGAAGGAGCCCCCAGATGCTGTGAATAGGGCACCCCTCACGCTGCCTCTTCCCGCGGGCATTAAAGATGCTGAGGGTTCCCAGAGTGTGTGAGCCTGTGACACGCAGGTGGGCCCAGGAGGGGCTGTGGGGGGGTGTGGGCGCTTGGATCCCAGCTACGGAGCCCTGGGTGGGTTCCCTGATCTGCACTTCGTGCGTGTGCCATCGACGGGAACACGTGGCCCTCTGAAGGAGCAATACAACAAAACAGCACACACATCTCATCGCATCTATATCAACATCTGTGCAACCCCCTCCACTGGGGAAATCCACATTACTAACCGGTGTGCCCGGTGTATGTTCACGCCTCCATCCACAGCACCCGCCTTGGCGCCCTGGGGGTTGGGTCCAGGATGCCTGCTGACACCCACTGAGGCTCAGCCCCACAGAAGGTGAGGGAGGATTTCTAAACAACGGGCACAACCTCCGGAAAACAAACCCTCCTCATCACCCCTCCCGCCTGGCACCACGTGGACGGTGTGAACAGGGTTCCATGTGGGAGCCCCTTCCACGTCCGCGTGGTTCAGGGTTCCGGTTCAGGAGGAGGCCGCACACAGATGAAAAGAGACTAGAAAAGCATTAATTTGGGAAATTGGGGCCAGGTGGAAGCCCGAGAGAGGCCTATCCTCACTCTGGCTTCGTCATCCCGTTCATTCAGACGATGGGATACACCCACAGCCCTCAGTCAGGAAACTCCAATAACAGCCAATCAGCGAATTTACTTAAAACAGGTGGAGGCTGCCTCCATACCAATGTCTAGTGACTAGCTCGTCCTGATGAGCGTGAGCTACGGGGCCACCTCCTGGAGGGAGGCCAGGCCCGCGTGCCCCTGCCCACCGGCCGCCCACTGCTCAGGGCCCACCACTCCACGGTGCCCGGAGGGGCCTGGGGCTCCCCCGAGGGCCAGGAGCTGGTCCTAGCAACACCCACCCTCCACTGGCTGGGTCCCAGCCCAGTCTCCGTCTCCACCAGTTCGCCCTCCCTCAATCACCACCTCCCTCAGTCTCCCACTCTCCCCTGTCTCCCCCTCCCTCAGTCTCCCCCTCCCCCAGTCTCACTCTATCTGCAGTGCCCTCCACAAGGACAAACTGCCACTCACATTAAAGAGAGGAGATGAAAATAAATAAAATAAAAATTAAAAAGAAGGAAAAAATAAGAGAGAAGGCTCCGGCCCCCAGACACTGGGCCATCCGGCCTAGAGCCAGGCACTCATCTCTCCTCACGGCTCCAGAACGAGGGTCAGACAAGCGTGAGCTACGGGGCCACCTCCTGGGGGGGTGAGGGGAGTGAGGGGCGCGGCACTGGGCTTCCCCCCCTTCCTGCTTCCAATGCCACCTGTGCTGCCACCTGCTGGGAACTACAGGCACTGCAGGGAGCCCTCCTGCCCCACCCCCACCCCTTAAACCCCATCCCTGAGCCCCACGCTGCCCTCAGCCTCTCCCCACGTGGGCTGGAGAGCAGCCCTCACCCCCAAGGCCCCGGCGGGGAGCAGGGGGCTCAGCTGGTGGGACCAGGACCCGGACTGGGGACAGTGAAGTGAGGTGTGTGTGTGGGGGGTGTGGGCGGGGTCGTAGGGGGTCTGTCAGACACTGGGCTTTAAGAATCCCCAGGCCGCCAAAACCGGTGTGGCTCAGTGGATAGAGCATCGGCCTGCGGACTGAGGTCCCAGGTTCAATTCTGGTCAGGGGCATGTACCTTGGTTGCGGGCACATCCCCGGTAGGGGGTGTGTAAGAGGCAGCTGGTCGATGATTCTCTCTCATCGAAGTTTCTAGCTTTCTATCCTTCTCTCTTCTCCTCTGTAAAAAACTCAATAAAATATGTTTTAAAAAAAAGTTTGATTTCTTTAAATGATCTACCCTCCTTTTATTAAAAATAATAATAATAAATAAATAAATAAGAATCCCCAGGCCAATGGATGGCCCCCAGAGAGACCACGCCCCCCTCTACGCCCCCAGAGGGACCCAGGGGTCTGTTCCACCCACAAGCGGGGGCTCCCCAGACCTGTGGATGGGTGGACCCCACTGGCCTTAGAGGAGGGAGAAAAGGGTGCTGTTTGGAGCGCTTCCCAATGTGACCACCAGGGGGCAGCGCAGGCCGGCGCCGGGCGGGGTGAACCGCCCTGAGCCTGCGGGTCCGCGGGGGCAGCCTGTCCAGCGGAGGGTCAGTGCGTCTGGCCTCGTGGGAACACGTGGGCTCGTGTGTGAAAAGCACACGGAGAGAGGTCACTGAGCGAGCAGCTTCCTGCCGGGAGTGAGCAGATGGTTCTCCCAGAGCGTGACGGACAGGTGTGTGCTCAGCCCTGACGGTGGCACCCGCAGGACCTGGCAGCTCGGCCTTCCCAGAGCCACCCCTCTCCTGCCGACAGGGCTGCCCGGGCAGGCTCCGCTGGCAGAGGGTGGGCAAGGGAGAGGCTGGGGGGCAGGAGATGTTCTTGGTGGCACGGCCCAAGCTCACAGCATCTCTGGACCCTTCTCCTGGAGCCTCTGGCTGCCACCTGTGCCTGCCGGGGCCGCCCCTCTGACCCCCACAGCTCCTCCCAGGGGCCACCAGGGCACCGTGCAGACACCATGGACGCCTCTGCCCTGCCCCAAGGGGACTCCCCTCCACTGAGCTCTCCTGAGGTCACTCAGCGGTCCCCCTGCCGCCAGGGTCAAAGGTGAGTGACTTGTCGCAGGTCACACGGGGCTGGGACCCGGCTCCATGGGCTCCCGGGCGAGGTTGAGTGGGTCTGGTCATCCCTGCATTGCTCACCGCGTGTCCGGCGCTGGGCCTGGAGTCCAGGGGGCTCCTGGGCGTGTCCCTGAGCGCCCCCCTCCTCTCAGCCCCTGCATCCCCCAGGGACCATGTGCGACAGGATGGCGGCTGCCTGCAGCAGCCAGGCCCGGAGCCGGCCCGGAGCCGCCCCGCCTCCTCCCCATCCACCCTCTCCCCCGCAGAGAGCAGGACCAGCAGCTCCCGCCAGGTGCTCCCTGTGAGGGCTGCAGCCGGCTCCCAGGAGGGGGCGGGGCAGCTGCCTGGCCCTTCCCAGCTGTTAGGAGTCGCTCTGCCTTCCACGGAGCCGGTGACCCAGGGGCCTCTGTGCAAGGACCTGGGCCAGCGGGTCGCCCCTGGAGGCCCCTGGCTGCCTGGCTGAGCTGGTCTGGGTCCTGCTTGACCACTAGGCGACCCCGGGCAAGTCGGAACCCCTCCTCCCTCCTTCCCGGTGCACAGCGGGCAGGTGCTCCCACCGAGGCCGGCGTCACAGAGGCCTGGAGCAGGCCTGACACGGACGCCGGGGGAGTGCTGGCTGAGTCAGTCACACACTCACCCTCCTGAGGGACCCCGCACCCGTGGGAGCTCCAGGCACAGGTGGCTCAGCGGGCAGCCGCCCAGGTCAGCCTCCTGCCCCAGCCGGGCCAGCCTTCCACCCATCCCGCCCAGACTGGGCCGCCCCGGCGGGCAGAGCCTGCCTCCCCGCTCCCGGCAATCACCCGCGTGGTTAGCGTGGTGACCCGCCCCCTCAGGGTGCTTCCCTCCCGTGGGCCGGCTCCACTGCTCTGGGAGGGGCGCGCCGGGAGGCCAGAGGTGCGGAGTCCCCTCTGTGTAAGGCCCCCCCCCCCAGGCCGGCCGGGCACATAGCGGCTGCCCGTAAAGACAGCCAAGTGCTGGGTGCACCGGTTAGCAATGAGGATTGACCCTTCACCAGTTAGTAATGCGGATTTTCCCAGTGAAGGGGGTTGCACAGATGTTGATATAGATGCGATGTGACGTGTGCTGTTTTGTTGCACTGCTCCTTCAGAGGGCCACGTGTTCCCGTCGATGGCACACGCACTGTCTGAGCAGCACTTCACACGTACGAAGAAGTGGGACATCGGGTCTCTGAATGGTTTGCCTCAAAACAAGACAAGTTCTATTGGGATGGTACCCGCCAATGACCTGAAGGATGGGAAATGTGTAGCTAGCGATGGGCATTATTTTGAATAAAACACTTCTGATGTCTCTTGAAATTTTATTGATTATAAAATCTGTATTTTTAAAAAATATATTTTATTAATTTTTTACAGAGAGGAAGGGAGAGGGATAGAGTTAGAAACATTGATGAGAGAGAAACATCGACCAGCTGCCTCCTGCACACCCCCCACTGGGGATGTGCCCGCAACCAAGGTACATGCCCTTGGCCGGAGTCGAACCTGGGACCTTTCAGTCCACAGACCGATGCTCTATCCACTGCGCCAAACCGGTTTTGGCTAAAATCTGTATTTTTAACCTGTAAATTCTCAATCCACATTATTAACTGATATCTGCATTTTAAAGGCTCAATCGCATTATTAACCACTTAATATGGATTGACCCTTTACCGGTTGAAAATGCAGATTTTGTAATGTCCATCGCTAGCTGCACATTTCCCCATCTTTCAGGTCATTGGCGGTTACCGTCCCAATCGAACTTTTCTTGTTTTGAGGCAGGCCATTCAGAGACCCGATCTTCCCCTTCTTCGTACATGTTGAAGTGCTGCTCAGACAGTGCGTGTGCATCGATGGGAACAAGCGGCCATCTGAAGGAGTAGGTCTGGTGAATACGGCCGGTGGGTTCATACTTCCCAGCAAGATTTTTTAACGTGTCTTTAACTGGTTTTGAAGCGTGTGCTGGTGCGTCATGTGTCTTATGGCCCACTGTGGTGGTTTTACGATCAAAGCGTGGTTCCTATTAATTCTTCGTTGTGGGTAGCGATCAGTATTAACGGTTTGCCTGGTTGTAGAAGCTCACGATACACCACACCTTCCCGATTCCGCCAAACGCAGAGCATCGTCTTCTTTCCGAAGCGATTTGGCCTTGCAGTTGGTATTGATGGTTGACCTGGATCAACCAATGATTTTTGTGCGTTTGGGATTCTCAAAATAGATCCATTTTCACCACCAATCACAATTCGATGCATCCTGGTGTCTGATTTGAAGAATTAAAAACTGACTTAGAAAAAAAAGAAAAAGACTTTCTTTTGTGCCGTTGAAGCAACATTTTACTGATGACTTTTCGGTTTTCCATTTGTCTTTCGTTCAGTTGATGTGGCGTCCATTTTCCGTCCTTTAAAATCTTCCCCATTGCTTGTAAACTATAGGAATTGTTTGCTGAGCAACGTTTAATCTTTCTGCAAGTTGTTTTTGAGTTTGACACGCATCTTCATCCAATAATACTCGTAATTGTTGGTCTTCAAACTTTTTTGGTTGACCTGGACGTTCTTTGTCTTTCACATATAAATCATTACTTTTAAAGCATTTAAACCAGTGTTCACAAGTACCTTGAGATGGAGCATGTTCGCCATAAGCTTCCCGAAGTAAAGGATAACTTTCAGCAGCACCAAAATAATGAATCAAAACTTCCTGCAAATGCTCTTTTTTTTTTGGCACAAAATTAGACATTTTTAAGCGTAAAAATATCTACGATGTTAACACCTTCAGCAAATTCGGCATATGAAGTTTTGAAGCTTGTTGTCAATACAACAAAATAGCATACATATCAGATCGCATATATATCAACATGTGTGTAACTTCATCTATTGGAAAAAAGTTCATATCGTCATTATCTAAGTATATTTGTATTGGTTTTGGAGAGGAAGGGAGAGAGAACATCAATGATGAGAGAGAATCACGGGTCGGGTGCCTCCTGCATGCCCCCTACTGGGGATGGAGCCCACAATCCGGGCATGTGACCTCCTGGTTCATGGAGTCGATGCTCAACCCCTGAGCCATGCAGGAGAGAGAGAGAGAGAGAGAGAGAGAGAGAGAGAGAGAGAGAGAGAGAGAGAACGCTCACACCAGCTTGGGCCTCTGGGGAGACCCCAGGGCCGCCCTAGGATGCAGGCTCCCAGCCAGTCTCAGCCAGGGCAGCGCTGCTCCAGCTCAGCCTTGGGGAACTCGCCCTGGGCTCCTGGGCGCCGAGTGTGTGGGTGTGGGGAGCGGAGGTCTGCGTCCCGGCCCAGCCCCGGGCATGGGCACCGGTAAGTTCCCGAGGTCCTGTCCTCGGTGAGGCCCCACCTGGCAGCGGGCAGGCAGACCGAGGCGCCGTGGCTGGAGGAGGCCTTCCCGGCGGGCCCCGTCTGGGGTGGGCTGTGACCCGCCGGAGGAGTGGCCCCGGAGACACTGAGCCCTGCGGCCGGTGGGGGTCCGGGAAGGGCCCGCCCGCAGCCTGGCCTCCCCGCTGCTCCCGGGCGCCGCCAGGCGTGCGGCCTGCGGTCAGCTCCCAGAAGCTGCCAGGGGGCGTCCCACGGAGCCAGCCCCGGGGCATTGATGGAAGTGCCCTGTGCCAGCGAGGGTTTGGGAAAGAAATGTCTAATGATCCCTAATTGGCACCCTCATTAGGTGCCAATTAAACCCTTAAGTGTTTCCTACAAAGTTCAGCCCATTAATATGGCAGCTCATTACACGGTAACGCGATTTATTTCTCATATTTATTACATTGTTTCACCGCCGCTGACAGCCAGCAGAGTTATTCTTAAAACGTGGCTTCCTGCAGAGGGCACAGCCCTTCCTGCAGCCCGTCCTGCGGGGATCCCCGCCCCCC